ATCAGTCGCGCTGCTCGCGCGCCGACCTGTCGCCTCAGGGGCTTCGCCCCTTCCCGCTCTGCCCTGGCGGCGTTTCGCTCACCCTTGCTTCGGTCCCCCCGGCCTCAGGTCCCGTGGCGCTCCGCTTTCTGTCAGAGGTGGCGCGGCGTTCCCGCCGGCGGCGGCGCCCCCCTCCGCGGCGGTTCGTCGGCCCCCTCCTCCTCCTCGTGGGTCGCGGGGCTTGCTCGGTCGTCGCCGTCTCGGTCGTGGGCTCGGGCCGCGTCGTGGGGCCCCCTGCCGTCGTCTCTCCGGGCCCCCCTCCTGCCCCTGCTCATGCTTGCCCCCCCCCTTCTCCCTCTCCTTCGGGTCGCCCCCGCCGCGGGGGGTCGCGGAGCCTCGTCTGCGCGCGCGCCCGGCGGTCGCGGCCGCCAGGCGTGTTCCAGCCCGCAGGCCACCCCGTGCCCGGGCGCGCCGCTTCTCGAAGCCGCGGGAGGCCCGCGCTCCTAACGGGCGAACCATCCAGCCGCGGCCGATCGCATCCCAGGACGTCGCCATCCAGACTCAGCCTCTCGGCTCTGCCAGAAACGGCGACCGCAGGGCATGGCGCTTCTTCCATGCGCTCGCGCGCCGGCGCTCGCCCAAGCGCCGGGCGCTCCACTCGGAGACTGCCCGCGCGCGCCGCGTTGGCCGCCGGATCTTCCGACGTGAAGGCTAGGGCCCAGCAGCTGCCAGAGACATCATCTTGCTGCGTCTTCGCATTGCGCAGGTCGCCCTCCTGCTGAGGGGCGGCGCCGACGCGCCCCGCGATCGGGGCGCGCGCGCCTGGCCGGGGCCAGCGGGGCGAAGCTATATAGCAGGGGCAGCGCATGTTGGCAGGTCCTCGGGCAGAGGCGCCAGCAGTGGCGCCGGAGATGCCCTTGCGCCCGTCGGCCGACGCGCCCTGGGTCAGCGCGGCGTCGAAGCCGGCCACCCAGAAGTAGATGTCCTGCTGCGGCGTGGCCAGGGCCGGCCGCCCTGGAAGAGGCCACTGGCCCGGGTCCCAAGCGACCCCGCGCCCGCGAACCACCGCGAGCCATGCGCCATCGCTGCTGCCCGCGAGCTCTTCCGTCTTCAGGCCGCAGCCCCACTCCTGCTCGGCGTCGGTGGCCAGGCAAGTCATGCGCCCATTCCATGTGGCCTTGGTCTCGCGCGCGCCCGTGAGTAGATCCATCTCCCCAGGGGCGGTGCTCTGCGCGACCCCCTGTCGCGCGCGCTGGTCTCGCCCGCGGCCGTCTTCGACGCGCCGCAGGAGACGCGCAGCGCAGAGGCGCCGAACGGCGCGTCCTGGAAGGCGCCGCCAGCATCCGCGGAGCCCTCGACGATGGCAGTCGCGTGCGTCTTGGCGATGGGCTTCGGCTGGCTGTGACTGCAGAACCCTTCTGAATTTTTTAATGACGTGAGACCTTCTTCCTTTTTTCTTAACTCACCTCCCGATCCTTCGAATTGGCGATGTGGATCGTGGTCTCCGAGGTCGTTCGCAGCCGCCTCGGCAGTCGTCTTGTCAGTCTGCAACTTTTTCCAGCGATCGTCGAGGTCCTCGAGGTGGTCCTTCTTCGCGGCTTCCACCTCCTTCGAGAGTGTCTCGGCCCTAGCCGTCACCTCGGCGAGAGCCCTCTGGTCCTCGGCGGGGTCAAACTCTAGCGAGCTGATCTCGGCGCACTCCAGCTTCTGCGTGGCGCCCGCGATTTGGTGGCTCTAACTTTTGGGCCCCTTCGCCTCCGCGATGGCCGACCTGGCCTCCTTCGCCAAAGCCTCCTTGCAGCGCGGGGGGGCCGCTTCTCGCGCGGGCGAGAAGTCCGGGGGCCGTCCGCGGGCGCGGCGGCGGCGGCAACGTGTGAATGGCAAGCAACGGGCAAGCAACGCCAATTGGCGCTCGGGCTGCCCCGGCCCCACTCAGCCCCACCAGGGGCCCCCGGGGCCCCCGACCCCCAGACCCGAATGCCAGGGTTCTAAGTATGACGGTTGTGGTTAATGGTGAAATCAAAATTTTACTGGTGAGATAGAATTTTGAAGGCGAAATAAAAAAAAAACACCACGTAAAAACACTACGCAGAACACGCACTACGGAGAAGCATTACGCACGTGAGTACGTCACATCCGCGCAGTACGTGTGTGACCAGGAAGGTCGTGATCGGGCGCTCCAGCGGCTGGCGCGGCCCTGCGAAGTCCGTGCGACGAGGGCATTCTGCGTAGTGTTTTTACGTAGTGTTTTCAGGGGCGCCCCGAGACGGCAACGCTGCTACGCGGGAACAACACGCCCGAAACCCCACGCAGCAGCATGCCGCGTCGCCCGCGTCTCTCGTCACCGTTGGCCGAGGCCGCGGGGAGTTGCGGATTCGGGCGGAACTGGCGCGAGACGCGGGCGATGAGGGCATTCTGCGCAGTGTTTTTACGCAGTGTTTCCAGGGGCGCCCCGAGCCGGCAAGCAGCCACGTAGCAAACAACGACGCCTAAACCCGCGCTGCCCGCGTCTCACGTCGCGTTCGCCCGAGGCCACGGGGAGCCGCTGTTTCGAGCGGAATTCGCGCGAGATGCGGGCGACGGGGGCATTTTGTGTAGCATTTTTACGCAGCGCGTGCAGGAGCGCCCCGAGTCGGCGCGCCACCACGCCAACGCGCCCAAACCCTTGCGCAGCAGCATGCCGCGTCGCCCGCGTCTCTGGACAGTTTCGCCCGATGCCGTGGGGGGCTGCGGATTTGGGCGAGACGATGCCCACGAGGGCATTCATTCTGCGTAGTGTTTTTGTACGTAGTGTTTTCAGGAGCGCCCCGAATCGGCGCGCTACTGCACGGAAACAACACGCCTGAATCCCAACGCAGCGCGTCGCCCGCGTCTCACGTCACGTTCGCCGCAGGAGGCGGGCAGTTGCGGAGGCGTGGAGGGGGGGGGGCGGGGGGGGAAATTTGGACCAATATTTGCTAGAATTGGAGTACAGGGAGGAGGGGGAGGAGGAGGAGGGAGGAGGAGGAGGAGGAGGAGGAGGAGGAGCAGGAGGAGCAGGAGGAGCAGGAGGAGGAGGACGAACTTTGGACTGATATGAAGGAGGAGGAGGGGGAAGAGGAGGAACATTCAAGGACCGATACCAGGTAGCCGCGGATAGGAGTAGGAGTAGGAGGAGGGGGAGGAGGAAGAGGAGGAGGAGGAGGAGGAGGAAGAGGAGGAGGAGGAGGAGGAGGAGGAGGACGCGAATACACTACGCCAATACACTACGCCAATACATTAGGCAAACGCATTCAGTACATGCACGACGCGAACACACGACGCAAAAACACTACGCAAAAACATTACGCAGATGCGCTACGCAAATATACTACGCGAAAACATTACGCAAAAACGCTACGCAAACACACTGCGCAAATACACCGCGCAAAAAACGCTTCGCGAAAAGCACTACGCAAAAACACGCTGCGCAAACGCACTCAGCACATCAACGACGCAAATACACTACGCAAACGCACTCAGCACACACACGACGCGAGTACGCGACGCAAAAACACTACGCAAAAACACTACGCAGATGCGCTACGCACACACACACACCACGCACGCACGCACGCACGCACGCACGCACGCACGCACGCACGCACGCACGCACGCACGCACGCACGCACGCACGCAAGCACACACACACACACACACACACACACACACACACACACACACACACACACACACACACACACACACACACACACACACACACACACACACACACACACACACACACACACACACACACACACACACTACGCGAAAACACTGCGCAATCAAATACTACGCAAACACACTACGCGAATAAACACTACGCGAACACACACTACGCGAAAAAAAAACACCACGCAAAAACACTACGCAAAAAACACTACGCAAAAACACCACGCAAAAACACTTACGCAAAAGCACTACGCAAGAACACTACGCAGATTTTTCCACCCTTAGGCATACCTCTCTCTAAGTATTGTCGCGCGAGGCTGCAGAAAAGACGCGCCACTAACCTTGCGGCGTGCAGTGGGGCGCGGGCGAGGGCGCGGGCGCGCCCCAGAGGACTCGCTCGTGCAAGTCCATTGAAGCCAGTGGTGGTGGCCGACGTCAAATCTCGGCACGAAGACCTCTCGCAATCATCTTGAGCGCTCCTCTGGGCTGGGCGGCCCCTGACGAAGCCAGAGGACCGCGTCCCTGTGCAGAAGCGATGGGCCGCTCGCGACGCCCCCATCAACGCGACGTTTCGACGTTCGGCAGCCCCGCGGACCCTCCCGGGGGGGGGGGGGGGGGGCACGGGCCCGCGCGGGCCGCTGCGTGCTGCGTTGTGCCCGAGTGACAGGACAGGGGGGAGGGGGCATGGCTTTCTACGGCGCACCTGGCCGTTAGGCTGGGTCGCCGAGGAGGGGGGATTGGCCGAGGGCCTCGCGCGCATCTCGTCGGCGCCGGCGGATCGGGGCGGACGCGGTCCCTGGTGACGGGGCGAGGAGGACACGAGGCGAACGCAAACGAGGGCCATGTTGATTGGGATGATATGAATATGATATGTCAGGGCACGGTAGGAATACATGATCAGCGGAAAGAAAAGCGCATGACTTCAGCAGAACGCGGTAACGTGAAATGCCACCTGTGAGCGCACGAGAAATTGCGTGGGAATCGGATGCCGTGGTTGTGTGTCAGTTGGGTGATTCATTATTGTTTGGCTGGAGGACTTCGTTCAACGCTTTTTTTCTGGCCAGGCCATGACTGTCGTGCGATGTCTTGTCGGAGTTGGCATGGGGAGGGGCGCGGCTTTCCATTGATTCGGGCGAATCCTTGACTAGATTGCGCTGCAATGGTTAGCCCACGGGGGGCAGCCCAGACCCCGCTCTTACCGGCGCAGATGCCAGCTTTTGGATCCCCATGGTGGTCACCAGCACCAGCGTTCTCATGATCAGCAGCATTCTCATCAGCCTCATCAGTAGCAACATAACTCACATAATCACCATCGTAGTCACCAGCGTCATCCTCAGCATCACCAGCATCATCATCACCATCAACATCAACATCATCAACATCATCATCCTTCTCCTCCTCAGCATCCTCGCCATCATTTTCGTCAACGCCCTCGCCATTGTCATCGTCATTGTCATCATCACCACCATCACCATCACCATCATCAACATCGCCAGAACCATCATCTCCATCAGCACCATCGTCACCATACCATAGTCATCCTAACTGCCGCCATTACCGTCATCATCGTAACCACCATCGCCACCACCACCATCACCACTACGATCACCATCATCGGTGGCATTCTCATCCGCATCATCACCGTCATCGTCACCAACATCATTATTATTACCATCATTATCATTATCATCCTCAACAAGCCGTGTCGCCGCCCGTGCTGTCTCTGGCCGCCCGTCTCTCTCTCTCTCTCTCTTGCTTCGTTTTTTTTTTTTTTTTTTTTTTTTTGTTTTTTTTTTTTTCTCTCTCTCTCTCTCGGGTGCCAGGCTTAGCCGCGCGGCCTCGGTTGCGATCGATCGATCGCCTCTTTGCCTGCCTAGCGTTTGCACGCTCCGCGTTCTGCCGCGGACTCCTCCAGTGCGTCTGCCATCGTCTTCGCGCCAAAGCGCGGTGCTGACTGGCAGCTTTGGACTGGCAGATTTGATGCTCCGTCAGCCTAGCCTGGTGCTGTGCAGGGGAAAGCAAACAACAACATCCTCATCATCCTCATCATCATCAGCATCATCATCACCAGCATTGTCGTCGTTGTCATCATGATCGTCGTCGCCGTCGTCTTCGTCGTCGCCATCACCATCTTCATCGCCACGACCACCCTTACCGTCCTCATCATCGACATCATCGCCATCACCATAAACCTCCTCCTACCCTTTTTTCACCCTCATCCTCCCCCTCCTCGTTGGTGCCCCTCCTCTTTTTCCTCGCCCTTGTATTTCCCTTCCTGCCCCCGTTTTGCTGCTGATGCTGCTGGTTATCCTCCTTCTTTTCCCCCTCCCCGTTTTGCTGCTGTTCCTCCTCCTGCTCCTCCACCTCGTCGTCCTGAGGCAGTGGCGTTCCTCCTCGTCCTCATTCTTTGTTGTTCCTCCTCCACGACCCCCCCCCCGCCTTCGATTCTCCCCCCCTCGATCCGCTTCCCCCCCTCTCGATTTCTTTTTCGTCCTCCGCGATTCCCCCCCCTCCCCTCCGATGCCCTTGCGGCCAGAGGACGGGTGCGATCAACTCCGGGTGCAACCTTCTTACTCCGCGCCGGGCCGTCCACGCCTCGGTAGTGCCCCCCCCCATCCGGGAAATGGTGGAGGTGGACGGGGGAAGGGGGGAGGAGTGAGTGTAGGAGGAGGAGGAAAATGCGAAAAAGGAGAAGGAGGAGGAGACGCAGTTGGAGGAGGAGGAGGAGGAGGAAGACGAGGAGGAGGATGCGCCCAGGAAGGGAATAATTCGAAGGGAGGAGGGAGGAGGCAGGAATAATGAATGAGGAGAGAGAAGGGAGAGAGAAGGGAGGATTGGGGATTAGGGAGGAGGAGGGATTAGGGACGAGGGAGGAGAAAGAAGGAGGGAGGGAGGAAGGGTGGGAGGGAGGAGAAGGATGATGATGAGGATGTGGTGAAGGTCGGGGAGAAGGAGGAGAGAAACAGGATGGTGATGATGCTGCTGCTGCTGCTGTTGATGATGATGATGATGATGATGGCGGTGATTATGATGATGATGATGATGATGATGATGATGATGATGATGATGATGATGATGATGATGGTGATGATGATGATGATGATGATGGTTACGGTGGCGATAGCGCGGATGACGAGTTGTGGTGATGGTGAAAAGAAGAATTGTCGATGAGTTCGTGAGGGTGATGATGCTGCTGATGCTGATGATTATGATGGTGATGTATACGATGGTCATGGTAATGATAACGATGCTGATGTTAATAATGCTGTGGTGATGATGATGGGGATGATGAGTATGATGCTGATGATGATTATGATGCTGATGATGATGTTGATTATTGTTATATCGATGATGCTGATGATGGTGATGATGATGGTGGTGGCGATGTTGATGATGGTGATTTAGATGATGACGATGATGGTGGTGGTGGTGGTGATGGTGGTGGTGATGAACATGATGAAGATGAGGATGATAGCGATGACGATGATTTGGAGGAGGAGGAGGACGAGGAGGAGGAGGACGACGACGATGATGATGATGGTGGTGGTGGTGGTGGTGGTGGGAAGAGGATGGTGATGATTATAATGATGATGGTCACCATAATCATCCTTCTTTCCCTTGGCTAGTACTAATATTAGTATATGCGCGATTATTCGTATTATAATGTTGTATGCCAGCTGTAGTATAACCTGAGCTGCCTCGATACGCCCGTTTTGACACGCAACACGTGCAGTGTTCAAAACGTCCTTGTCAATACGTTGCGTGTTGGCTCAACGTATTGGCCCACGTTTTGGCGAACGTACCGCGTCAGACCTACGTGTTCAATCTACGTGTCGAGCTCCGCATCAATACGAAACGTGTTGCGTGTTGCGCATCGCGGCAGCTAAGAGTATAACTGTTAGTTTGATCATTGCTATTATTCGTACCAGTAGTATGACTGCTCTGTTTGTTAGGATGATGATAATGGTTATGATTAGTTATGATTCGTAGTATTAGTCTCGCCATTTGTAATCATAGTATCATTGTTCCTCTTCTTCTTCCCAACATTAGTGTCACTGGGGTGGAGGCGAAGTAGTGGAGCTCTCGAAGTAATTTTGGCTGAGGTGGGCTGGGGTGGAAGCTGGGGGACACTCACGCCGCTGTGAGGGCGGTGCTGGGGAGGGCCCACTGCGGCGGAGTGCCACGGGCCATGGAGGTTCGCCACAGCTAGGCCAGTATCTTTCGCATTCGTATTCCTTCTTATGCTTAGTCGTAGTGTGAGTTTCGTCGTCGTTAGTTACGCTTCGCGGGAAGCCCATTTACAGACCCTGACCTCGAGAGCTGACGGGAAAAGGGGCGAAGATACACATCTAGTGAAACAGGGCGAGCAACCAGGGTGACCCAGAGAGATCTCTGGGAGCAAGGGGGTGGTCTTGGAAGGCCTCTTCGGGCCATCCCTGGGGGCCGCGTGGGGGCGAGGGGAGGAGGAGGAGGAGGAGGAAAACGACGACGACGACGACGACCACGACGATTAGGGAGAGGAGGAACAGAAACAGGAAGACGATGAGGGCAAGGACGAGGACGAAGACGAGGACGAAGACGAGGAGGAGGAAGAGGATGACAACGGCGACGAGGACCCATGGAGCCGTCTTATGCGGATATAGATTAGGACGAGGAGGAAGACGATGAGAATGATGGGCACGAGGACGACGAGGACGAGGACGAGGACGAATACGACGACGAGGACGAAGACGAGGATGAGGAGGGCGAGGACGAGACAGATGACGAGGGGCTGCGACGAGGAGGAATAGGAGGACGAGGATGACGCAGACGAAGACGATGAGGACACGATGGAAAAGGACGGCGCGGACTCTGGCAACCATCTTGGAGTCTTCTGGAGACTCCCTCGCGGCTCGCTTGGAGCCCTCTTGGAGCCCTCTTGGGGCTCTCTTGGGGATTTCTTGGAAGCCCTGGAGCGCCTCTTGGGGCCATCTTGGAGGCTATCGATCAAACGAGGGGGGGTTGGGCAGATCTAGATCCCCCCTTGGGTCCCTCAAAACCGCCTCTTGGGACCCTCTTTGGGGCGCTCTTGGGCGCTATTGGTGCCGTCTTGGGCTCCTCTGTGGCTCTTCTTGGGGCCTTCTTGGGCCATCTTTGGGCCATCTTGAGGCCCCCCAAAGCGCATTGGACGGCGAGACTGCAGAAATCATGGGGGCGCGTGCGAAAAAATGTTTGCTGATCACGTTGTGTCGCTCCCTGTCCCCTCCGTAGCCTCCCAGATTCAACAGGGGAGCTTTCTGGGCGGCAGCCCGCACCGCAAGGAGGGGACCTGTCTCGATGGCGATGGGCGGTCCCCGTGGCGCTGGCGGCGCTCCCTGAAGTGTGGCCGGTCGGTCCCGTGCCCGCGGTCCCTGAGGCCGGGGAGGCCGAGGCGGAAGACCCGAGCGCGGAGGCGGAGGTGGCCTTGACGCTGGAGCACCTTGCTGCCCGAGGCTTCCTTACTCCGTGCCCGGCGCCGCCCCCGACGGCGTGTCAGTGCGAGTGTCCTGCGGCTGAGAAGGAGTTGAGTGACTGGGTCGGGCTGATCATGGGGGCGAGCTGGTTGTTGACGCAGGTCGGGCCGTTCTGCGTCGCTGGCGTGATGATGGCGGCAAGGTTCTCCTGGATGGTGTTGGATGCGGGCGCCGACGGCATGGAATAGTATATATTGCCTAGGCGGAGGCCGGGCCAGCTGGTCGACGTGAAGTACGATGGCTATCCCGTGTGGCATGATACATTACTGATGGGAGCTGGGTACGCGGACTTGCTGGATCCGACGCGCGTCCACGCCAGACAGCGACGAGTATGAGGAGGCGGTAGGCGGCGGTCAGCCTGGACCGCATCTGGGCGCGACGCTGACGACGAACGGGGCGGCCTCTTTGGAGCCGCGCGGGAAGTTCTATCAATTTAGGAATTACCCCACGGACAGGTTGTTGGCGCAGAAGGCCGTCGAGCACTCCAGAGCCCAGGCCGATGGCAGCGCGCCTCAGTCCCTGCCGCTCGACTACGGCGACATTGCAGGCGACGAGGTGGAGCAGGGACCGTTGGGCCAAAGCAGTATGATGGCGAGCTGTATGTGAGGGGCCTGCTGGCGAGGCGGACCGATGTGGGTGTTCGAGCCAGGGGGCCGCGAGATTGGGCCGCCTCGAGCATCGAGACCGCGGGGGATACTACCGAGTCCGTGGATGCCAAGGGCGCGGACGCCCCCTGGGAAGATGGTGGCGTGGCGGGCGCGGAGGAGTGCCGCATCTCGTGGGTAGAATACGATCCTAGAAAGAGAGAGAGAGAGAGAGAGAGAGAGAGAGAGAGCAGCTACAGGAGTGGCGACAGGTGTGCGCGCGTGTGTAGAGTCCCGCGCGGAGGGGTGGGGGGACGTGGCCGACGGAGGCTCGCCACCTTTCTCGCGCCGGATGAACCAGACGGCGCGGGGCGGGGCCAGCGCCGAGATCTGGCTTGTTGAGTGCTGTCGCGATCGCCGCACCGAGAGGAGTGACCTTGCATTTCACGAGCTTCAGAGCCTGGTGGAGATCGCGCGCGCGGGCGGCCAGCTGGACAAGCCAGCGTCGCAGAGCTTCGAGCGGAACAGCCGTCGTATCTCTACCATAGTGGTTGTTTAGAGCGGCGCGGGGCCCCCTAGCTGGCGCGCAGCGAGGCGCAACGAGGAAGCGCCGGGCGCGACGGACGGCGCGGTGCCAGAGCTTCGCCAGCGGGGCATCAAGTGGGCCATGGACGAGAACGAGCTGAACCCAGTCCGCAGCAGTGGCCTCAAGGGGTCGATCGCGGGCGACGATGAGGAAGACGGCGATGACGGCGAGGGCAAGGCGGAGGGCTGCAGCGGGAAGCCCACGGGCCGCGGCCGCGGCTCCGCCGGCAGACCACGATGGAAGATGGGGGCCGGGTGAGAGCTCCCAGCCCGGCCCCCCGGCGAGCGGGAGCAGGCCGCCCAGCCGCGTCTTCGGGGGCCAGAGAGCTCTTCCCGCTTCCGCGGGGGGCGGGGCCTCGTCGACCCGATGGGCGATGGGGCAGGCGGATGGCGAGGTGGCGAGCTCGTCGACGTGAAAGCGAACTGGATGATGGCGCCCAGCAGGCGCTCAATTGGATGCACGGGTCTGCGCTAGGGCATGAGGCCCAGCTGGAGCCCGACGAGATGCAGCAGGATGTCGCCCGATACGTGCTCCCGAGTTGGGGTACTTGTTGACTGCCCAAAGAGTCCTGGTTCATGAACTCACTACTGCACCACTCGGGTCGGTTAAAGGCGGCTGCGACTGCGTCGGTGAAGAAGTGGGCTCGCGCGGCAATGTCGGGCTCTTGTGCGCTGGCTCCTCCTGGGAAAGGTCGTAGGCTGCTTGGGCTGCCGTCCGACGTGTCGCTCTGACCTCTGCCGGCGTAGGTGAAGGAGCTGGTCCGCCAGACCTTGGCCAAGGTAGTAGACGCTGCCCTGGAACTTGCGGTATATCGTTTCAACTCTGATGGTGCTGCTGCGGAGTCTGCTGCGGCTGCTGCTGCTGCAACCGCTGCTGATGCGGCTGTGAGATAGGGGCTGGACTCAAGGCTGCGATGGCTGTCCTGTCGCTTTCGCCCAGATGCGGTAGCCCGTCCTCGTCCGTCCCAACCGGTACCATAGCGGCAGGAGGTGCTGCTGCTGTTGCTTGAATAGCCGCCTGCGACGGGGCCCTAGGCTGAGGTGCAGCAGCGCCATGTAGTTGTGTACCTGATGGCGTTGCTGCGCTTGCCGCGGTAGACGAGGCCGAACTCGTAAGAACCACCTGTAGTTGCCCGAGCTGCGCCGTGGGCATGGCCAGTCAGAGCAGCCTGCCCATTCTGGAAATCCGTGATGACTTGCGGCAATGAGGATGGGGACTGTTCGCTCGAGCTCGCACGTGCATTCTGCTGAGAAAATGGAGACTGAGCTTTGGCCCCCGAAGGGGGGTGATGACCAGGCAGAGCGAAGGGAGGGGGCTGCTGATTCTCGCCGAACAACTGTGGACTGGAGCTTTGATCGACCTCCATGAATGGTCCTCCGATGCTGCTGAGATTTGCTGCTGGTGACCGCTCTGCCTCAGCTGCTGTATGAGCTGCCTGGGCTGCGATATGATCTTCTTCCTGCTTCTGAGCTGTTTTGAAATGAACCAACAACTCTGCTGCAACCTTCAAGTTATGCAGCAGCTCGTGCTTCGCTTGTGTGATTGCCGCGAGGACCGCACGAGCCTGAGCCTCGGCAGCCTCGGCGTCGCTGGCCCGCTTCTTGGCACGATCGACGTAGCGCTGCTGATTGTTGGTCCTGTCTTAGGGAGGGTAGGCATTGATAAACATGACGAGAAAGACATAAGACTCGTCTTTCAATTCGGCGATCCTCCCTTTGTCCGCAGCAATGACCTTGGTACTCTTGATCTGGGTCTCCAGGGCAACCAGATTGGTGCGTAGCTGGGTACGGAAGGCTGGTAGATCTTTCTGCGCAGCTGGCGGGTCTATCTATACATCGTGCGTCCTGGCCACCTTCTGCGATGCAGGCGGAATGTCTAGCGTAAAGCCAGGTTGTCCTCGGCCTGGGTTGGTCTGCTGCTGCTGCTGCCACCCTGGGCGAATCCCACGGGACTCTTGGGGCCTGTTGCGACGCCGCAGGCTTTCTGACTGCTGCGAGCGGGAGGGAACACCAAGCGCACATCTTCACAGTAGGCCAACTGTGGGTACCACACGTTGAGCACTGCCACTGCGACGGTGGTAATGACTGAGAGCCTCCACTTGAGCCTCCGCCTGTGGCCCGCGGCGAAACGCTGCCGCCCGACTTCCCATGCTGACTGCATAGCTGTGGTGCGAGAAGCTGACAAGCGGAGGCGGCTCGAGCCAGAGCCGTGGCTTGGGCACGTCGCGATGTGGTCGTAGACGTCCGTGCCACGCGGGCGAGCGATCCCTGGCTCTCCGCGGGCGAGACGTGTTGCTCGGTCGCGCGGGCGCTGCAATGGCGGCCGCGCGGCACGATGGGTGCGATCGTCGGGGGGGGGGGGGGGCCGCGCTCCTTGGGAGCGCACCCGAGGCCCCTTGACCGGGCAAACACCTAAGGAGGGGGAGGAGGGAGGAGGAAGGAGGAGGAGGAGGGAGAAGGAGGGAAGAGAAGAGAAGAAGGAGGAGGGGGAGGAGGAGAAGGATGAGGAGTGAGGTGAGGGCCCTGCACCGACCGCCAGGCGGAATGGCTTCGATATGATGCGGTGGGCGTGGAGCCGCCCACAGCATCGGTATTTAAGTTGCCGCGCGCAGTACTCGAGGGCATCTTTGCATCGCCCCTTTCTCGGAAATGTATGGGGGAGCGGAAGGGTATAGATGAGGAGTAGGTCATCCTTGCCACACCCATGCGCTGCAGCATACTCTTAAAAGCTCTGCTGATCCCAACTGTCTTGCATATCTTGGTTCTCGCCGACGCGCGCTGCTACGGTACCAGGGCCTGACCTTTATTGTATCGAGCGTTGCGCTCCGAACAGTTTTTCCCGGATCGTTGCCACCAAGACGCGACGGCTCAAGCAAGCCAACGCTTGTCCAACGTAAAAAGTGAGGAGAGGTGTCCGAGGAGGGGGTCAGAGGAAGGCAGGAGGACGAGGAGGAGGAGGAGGAGGAGGAGGAGGAGGAGGAGGAGGAGGAGGAAGGAGGGAGGAAGAGGAACGTTTGCTTAGCGTCGCGCGTTCGAGGTCCGAGATTTTCTGACGTGTTGGTCAGTTCTCGGCGGTTGCCCAGCCTCGAGATGCTTTCCGGCAGCTGCGCCTCGCCGAGGGGCGTTTTGCGGGTGCCCGGATCGTCCCGAACGGCCGTCAGAGGCCCGAGTCTTGACCCGAATGCCTGGCGACGAGGGCTACTCGAGTTACGGTCAGGAGCTTATGCTTGGCCTGTCGCGCCGGTGGCTTTTGGCCCATTACGCTTCGGCGCGACACGCTGACCGCCTCCGAGTCCTCGAGCGCCAGCGTCCCGAGCTCTTCCCAGCCTCCCGCCCCGCGGAGCGGGGCGGTACTCTCTATCCGTGTCCGCTTGCAGGGTATGGCTTATCGCCAGGGCCGCCGCCGCGACGCGCCAAGCAAAAGTAACGGACCGTGTACGTCGCCACGCCGTCTGTTCCGACGCGCGGCTCTGCGTCTTAGGGGAGGGCGCTTCGGCCACCTTGGCAAACTCTGCCTCGGGCGCGGTGGGTTTGCCGTGGGCTTGCCGCGGTGCTGGTTCCGTCTATTTGGGGCGCGGGGCGCAGAGCCTGCCGTGGGTTTGCCGTGGTGCCGGCGTCGTCCACTTGGGCGCGTCGAGGACAAACGGCGCGGCGACATGTACTGATACCGCCACCCATCCGTCGCTGCCACCGCTGGATTCGCCCTACGATCCTGGTCAGAAGGCGCTCCCCCCAGAGAGGTCCGCGGAATAGCGGTACCAGTAGCCCTTATGTCCCTCATCGGGAAGGTGTCATTTTGGTTTTGCAGTTTTTTGTTCGCAGCAGTCGTTTGTGGCATGCGACCGAGCTTCAGCTCGTTTCACGCATCCGACGTGTCCGCTTGCCTTGTCTGGCCAGCGGCTACTTCCCAACCGCCCATCCATCGATTATACATCTCCCAAATCTCCTTTGATGCGCAGCCTGCGTTTGTTAGTGACGGGTGCCTTGATCGTCTTTCATGCAGCGCTGCAGGGGTTTGCTGTCCGACCAATCGGCATCCCATTTAGGGGATGAGGTTCGCCCTTTGGGGCTCGCTCTCACACACTACTCCGGGAGCTGTTTCGCGCTAGCTCAATCTGGATGCATTCTCGCGTTTCTTTTTTGGTCACGTCGCAGCCGCCTGTCATTCACCCAGCGCCACTTGCACATGTCAGGTAGAGACGAGTGTCATACACGAAGTGGGTTGGGGGAAGGGAGGATGACGAGGGAAAGGTGGACGGGGCAGAGGAGGAGGAGGACGCGAAGGAGAAGGAGGAGCAGGAGGAGGAGGAGGAGGAGGAGGAGGAGGGATGACCGTTTCTTCGCTGGCGCATTTCTGAGCCCCAGCCGAGGTCGTGGTCGAAGGTGGTTCAGTTCAAGCCGAGCCCTCGACACTTGCCGCCTACCCCAATCCGTCGGCCAGCTCCTCGCTACCCTTGGATGCGGCGGTGGACGATGGCCTCGAGACTGGCATCGTCAGCGATAAGGCCCTAACACCGCACAGCAGGACCGGGCAGGGCACAGCGGAGAGCGCACCAGACGTCGAGGCATCGTTGGATGCCCGAGTTGTCCCACGGTGCCGGGTGGGGCCAGGCTGGCACCTTCCACGACGATGCCATTTCTTGACGAAATGATCGCCCCCGATGTGC